TTATTATTATTATTATTATTATTATTATTATTATTATTATTATTATTATTATTATTATTATTATTATTATTATTATAGGTTATCAAGTCACTACCATGGAAGAGGCATGTAAAGAAGGTAATATCTTCGTTACTACTACTGGAAATCGAGATATTATTGTAGGCAGACATTTTGAGCAGATGAAAAATGATTCTGTAGTGTGCAAGTAAGTTTTATATATATATATATATATATATATATATTATTTATTTAATTCAAATTTTGAAATATCTCATTTTGAACATCTTTCAAAAAAACACTTATAGTATTGGACATTTCGACATTGAGGTTGACGTTGCTTGGCTCGTTAAAAACGCGGTGAAACATGTCAATATTAAGCCTCAGGTTGATCGTTATACATTGAAAAACGGAAGAAATATAATTCTTCTTGCAGAAGGAAGATTAGTTAACCTCGGATGTGCCACGGGTCATTCAAGTTTTGTGATGAGCAATTCATTTTCAAATCAAGTTTTGGCACAAATTGCCCTTTGGACGGATTCTGAATCATACCCATTGGGTGTTCACGTGTTACCCAAAAAACTTGATGAGGAAGTTGCCGCTGCACATCTCGAACAATTAGGTGTTAAACTGACAAAGCTTACTCCTGCACAATCCGAATATATCGGGGTTCCTATTGAAGGTCCTTTCAAACCCGAATATTATCGGTAAATATATTTTTATTAACTTTTCCAAAAAAAATCGGTTGATAATAAATCAATTGCTAACATAATAAAAAAAAATCTTCTATTACTGCCAGCTATTAAAAAATCTACATTAAAATCAATCAGAAATAACATTCAAAAATTCATGATAAAATAGATTTCTTCTTGCGAAAATTTTGGATGCTAGTTTATTTTTTTTTTTTTATTGTCTCATCCTCATCCTAAAGTTATAAGTGAATTATAATGAGCTCCTAATCCATACATGTGACGGTGATATCTACAAACCAAAAAAAAAAAAAAATTAATGTTAAGGTTTAATAAAAATATAATAAAATATAAAATGCATTGTGCATAATTTATAAAGGATACGAAATAATAATGGGTTCTTTATCAGGATATTTTTCATCAAACATTTTCAGCACGGGTGAATTCATTTGAATAACGTGAATAGGAATTTCGTAAATCTGTGAAATTGCACGTATCTATCACAGATCGAAAAAAGAAAAGTGAACCTACTATTTAATTAATTAAACATTTGAATTATCAAAACATAAAATAATATTTTTAATACTTCAATTTCGCCACCCCACAATGCAGTATTTTCTAAATTATCACAATAATTTTGAAATTGTTCTAAACAAAATAAAATAAAATGAAAATAAAATGATGTCAATTCCTCAAGTTCGAATTTGTTAGTAGCTAAAAAAAAAAAAGCTTCACCTAGACTGAACAAATTTCCGTCTTGTGTATTTGAGAAAAATGGCATAAAATCATCAGTATTATTACGCATATACATTGCGGTATTCTTTCTTATATCCTTATGACTAATCTGATCCATAAAAAAATGATGAATAAAAAACAACGAATCATCATAATTTCCATCGTGTTTAATTATTTTATTACCTCAATTTGATGTCTTATCCGTAGCTGATCTGATATTGCATTAAAAAGACTGTATTACAGATTAAATATAAATTATTAGAAATCACGTAATAATTAATATAATTTATAATAAATAATTTTCAACTTGCCAGTGTCCATCAGCCGCGATCTAATAATAATAATAATAATAATAATAATAATAATAATAATAATAAATCAATCAATCATTAGCTCATATCCTAAAATAACACTATTGAAAGAAGAATTCTTTTATTAATTTTTTATAAAAGTAAAAAGTATAAATCACCTCCTTAACAGTAAATCCCATTTTTGTGGCCATCTCTTTAATTGCATTAGATTCAACTTCTTTCAAGTTGACCTGATTTTTAGATTCTTCTTCGGCTTCACGTTGCATTTCAGCTAGTTTTGCTGCTTTTTTTTTCTATATTTTAAAGTAACTTATTCATAAATTCATTCAGGAAATTATTAAGATGAAATATTTTGAAATCGAAATTACCTTTCTTTCTTGCTGTCTATTTATCTTTGGTTTTTTGTTCTCTTCATTGACTTTACTCTGTATAGGTGCCTTTTTTTCATCTTCAATTCGCATGGAATCTAACCTTGCTAGTAATTTATCAGTAATATCAGTAATATCATCATCTAGGTTGTCTTCATTACGTTCCTCCAAATTTTTGGGCTATCCAAACATAAACATATTAAAAATATACTGATATTCTAATGCTAGCAAAACTAGCAAAAAAAAATTTTTTTAAAAAATTAACCTTGGAATCTAAAGTATCGTTATTATTATTAGAACTATTTTCTTTTGCAATAGGTTTCGTAGATTTGAACAATTCCAGCTCATTTTGTTGTCTACTTCGAAACTCCTTTTCAAGTTTTTCGACTTCAATTTGAACTTCTTTTTTGCGTTTTTTATCTCCTTTAGTTGCTGTTTTTTTTAAAGCGGTGATTTGAGAATTGAGTTCTTTTAGTTCTTTTTTATGACGTAAGGTAATTTCTTCAAGAGTCTCTTCAATTTTCGGTTCTGCCATTTTAAATTTCACGTTCGGAAAAATTAAGTTTTATTAATTTTCCGAACCAATCACCTTTGAATTACATAGAATGATGTCACGTTTAAATCAATACAATAACACTAACTAAATTTTCTCCAGAGCAAAAGTACAGTTGTTGTTTTTGAGGATCAAAATGTAGTAGCCGGCATCAAAATATCTCACCCATATATGTGAGCTAGAAATAATCATGACCCTTTAAATATATATCCTTTGAAATTGAATGAATAGAATAGTTTTTCAAAGATTAAAGATTAAGATTATTTCTTCTCAATATCTCTAAAATTATCATTAAACGGTGCCTATGCAATTGCTGAAAAACATGATGGGTTATGTCTTTCAACTGAATATAAAGATAACAGAACCCCATTAATGTGACGCTATTCTAAGAGTTATACATGGTGTAATAAAATTAAAATTTTAAATGCTTTTATGTTCAAACAATAAAAAATATTATCTATTCTGATCTTGACCATAATCGTTAGATATATATCCAACTTTTAATAAGATTAGGTTATACACTAAACGCATATTGTGCCAAATTTCCTCCCCCCTTTTGATTCCATCGCGGACGTCAAATAAATCACTAAGTCTCTAAAGTGGAACTTTGTACCCGCGTTTATTTGGAGCGAGGCCATAAGTAACAAATGTATCCATCACTATATAACACGTGGCCTAATCAGTTATACGATTTTTCTTTGTAGCTATTACCTATTGCTTGCATCAACACTTTCGGGATCACCTGGCAAAGTATTAAAAATATTTAAACTATTAAATTATTAAATTAAATTATGAAAATCTTCAATATTATTTTTATTTTCTTTATATAAGTTGTCTACTACAAATATCATTACTTTCATTAAAATTTGATATTCCTTTGCAGTCATT